ACTGCTTTATGGATATATTGAGTGGGATATTGTATGGGTATCTCAAATACAAAATAATACGAACAATACAATATCCCATTCAATTTACACACCTAAATTTTTCCTGCTCCCTGTGTTCTTCACATTAGTTAATGATGACTAAATTAGCACTTAACAGAACCCAAATATAGTTGGTTCAATCAGACAGAGATTTATTTTTAATACGAAAGACATTTGGACAAAGGAAATTCAGGGCTAGTACAAAGGCTTAGTGGTCTTCGGGAACCCAGGATACTTCCATTTTTTCTGTTTCATCACCCCTAAAATATGGATTCCATCCACAATATTATCTCTTGATTAAAGATGGTTTTTGGAGCTCTGGCCATTGCATCTGGTTTCCAGTTAGAATGTGGAAGAAAGGAGTAGGAAGGCAGCAAATATGCACACCACTTTCTTTCTTTCTTTCTTTTTTTTTTGAGACGGAGCTTCGCTCGTTACCCAGGCTGGAGTGCAATGGCGCGATCTTGGCTCACCGCAACCTCCGCCTCCTGGGTTCAGGCAATTCTCTGCCTCAGCTTCCTGAGTAGCTGGGATTACAGGCACACACCACCATGCCCATGTATTTTTAGTAGAGACGGGGTTTCACCATGTCGACCAGGATGGTCTCGATCTCTTGACCCGGGGCACGGTGGCTCATGCCTGTAATCCCAGCACTTTGGGAGGCCGAGGTGAGTGGAACACCACTTTCTTTTAAGGAACTCTCCTCTGGATGTCCCATCTAGCAACCTCTATGTGTAACTGATTGACACCCCTGAGTTGCAGGAGAGGCTGGGAAATCTGTGCTGCTCTGAAAGAAACAGGGGTCCTGTAACTAAAAAAAATATAGGTAAACATGGTGAGTATAACCAATTGGCAATACCATTGTTACTAACAGTGTGTTGTATTTTTAAAAACTGCTGAGTCAATTTTAAGTGTTCTCACCACAAAAATAAGTATGTGAGATAATGTATGTATTAATTAGTTTGATTTAGTCATTTCACAATCTATACATATATCAAAACATAATCTACATGATATACAAAATTTTTGTCAATTAAAAATAAATGGAATAAATCAGTAAATTAAAAAGCAAAGAAGATAGGTGCGTGGATAGTGGGTTGACAGTGATTGAACCCCAGTAATTCCCTCAGCAAAAAATCTAAGACTGGTCACCAGCTCCTCTCTCTCTCCTTTCACATTTGAGGACATACCCATGCTCGTGGCGTGAATCCAACATCTTCACTTCAGTCATGGCATCTTGGATCCATTCCTCATCCTCTTTGTTGAACTGTTCAGCAGTTACCAGAGTCCTCCTATTTCTGCCTTTCTTCAAGACTGCTTCTAGAGATACTTCACTAAGCTACACTTTGCTAAGGTCTTATTGCTCTTCTGATTTAAAAGCTTCCTTTAGGTCCACTAATGAAAGAAGAAAATCCAAATACCCTAGATTGTCCACATCACAGCCCTTTTCTTGCATGTAAACTCTCAAAGTTCTTTTCAAGCCCATGCTCCATTTACAACACTGAGCCCAATGTTAAGGAAGGCACAGAGTTAGGGTTCTAGCTTAGGATTGTGAGCCTCCAAATCCCAAACTCTATGCATAGGCATCTACTTCCTGGAAAGGAGGGGAAGGAGAAAAAACTGGAGGAGGTAGTCAGCATGATCGTGCGGGTTAAACAACAGCTTACACCAGAGAGAGAGAGAGGCTCTCTGGAGATGCACTTGTGCCTTAGGTCAGGTGCACATTAGATCCTCAACTTGGTGATTTACTGGCTTTCTTGATTTCCAACTTGAGAAAAAAGTAATATCTTGGAAAGTAATATGAGATAAGAAGGAAAGTGACATCAAGCACTATTAAAATAGTATTTGTTGCATTTTTCCCTAATTAAAAGTGATACACATAAATAGTAAGAATTTCAGAAAATTCTGCAGCACAAATAAAATATAAAATCACTAGCATTTCTACCACCTAGATATAAAAGTGTATTTATTTGTTTCATAGACATACATGAGTACAAAATCAAACTTTTATTGTATGGGTAGCAATCATTATTTATATAAACAAATCTATATTTATTTATATAGATCCTTTTATGTGTTATAAAATTCATTTTTAAAATAAAACTGAGATAAAATATAGAACAGATATTTAGCTTACTTTTTTTCATTGAACAAATATGGTAAACATGTTCCCATGCTTCTAAATATTTTTCTGCAACTTGATTTTCAGTGGCTAGATAAAATTTCATTGCATGGATGGAATAAACATTCATTTGTTGAGCTTTGCTTTTGGTATTTGCTATTATGAATAATCTTGATATGCCTTTTTATTTGGTGTATATCTGATTGTTTCCTTAGATAAAGAAGTATGATATAAATATTGTTTTATACAAACCACCCTCCGGGAAGATTATGCTAAAGTTTACTTTCACCAATAAGGTATGAGAACGTTCCCTATACTCTGTATGTTATCATTTAAAAATATTGTTTTAAAAATATACCTGTTTTGATAGCTGATGGGCAGATCCCATTTCATTTGTTTGCTGTTTGTATTCTTCTGGTTTGAATTGCCTCTCCAAGTTTTTGTTCCTAATTCCCTTGTGGTATTTAGTAATAATAATTTATTTATTATCTATAAATATAAATAGCATTATGTATTCTTTTATTATACTAATGAGTGATATAATAATACTTGTGATAATAATGACAGCCAACATTTAGTAAGCCTTTACTGTGCTAGTTTTCATGTATTTTCTTTTTTAATCCTTGCAGTCCTCTGAAATATATTTGATTATTATTCCCATTAAAATGACAGAAGTTTGTGAAATTAAATGGCCCATCCAAAGTCACATAGCTAGTAATAGGCAGACCGACTTGTTAAAAGCCCCTTATGTAGTATTTTAACCACTTGCCTGTAAAATTGTTTTAACTTCTCTCCTCCTGTTTTATTGTTCATCTTTTAATTTAGTTAATCCTCCTTTTTATAGGAAGAATTTCTAATTTTCTTATAGTTCTATGTAGCAGCCTTTCCTTTATTATATCTTCTTTTGTGCATATGCTTAGAAACACTGTCCCTTGACAGCGATTGGCTAAGTATTTAGTTATATTGCTTTCAAATTATTTTATTGGTGATTTGCAGTGTGCCACTCTGCAATCTATTGAAATTTATTTTGGTATATGGTGTGAGTTAGAAATAGAGCCCTATACTAAAGAATCTATTCTCCCTTCTTATTTTAAGATCAAACTTTTACTGTATGTGTAGCAATCATTTGTATTTATATTTCTATGTATTTGGGTCTGATCTACTTTATTCTGTTCATTGATTTATTATTGATTCTCACTCCAGTATCATGCCATCCTGACCCCTGTACCTTTCTAATATGCATTGATGTCCGAGGGACATGCCTTCTCCTCCTTCATTCATCAGAGTGCTCTTAGCTGCTCTTTCAGATGGTCTTTAATTCGGGCTCACTTTGGAGTGGATTTCTCCCAAGGCCCTGGTTCATCCACTTATACTTTCCTGACCCTTGGCTGGCCAACCAGAATCCTTCGAGGTGTCTTTGGGAGTTTTGTGACTTCCCATTCCCTGCAGATGCACCGCGCTGTGGAGGCTCCTCTCCGGCCCTCAACGGCATCCTGGCACCCAGGCCTCTCTGGACACCGGCAGGCGTGGTTGAGCTAAGCATCTTCAACAGTGTTGCAGACAGGTTGTGTCGTACTTTCTTGGCATCTGCCATCAGCACTCAGCCTCAGCTTCTTCACCAGTTGTGGTTCTGGTTAATCCACCCAGAGAGTCACCTCGGCCAGCATTTGGAAGAAGAGGTAGCCACCTCCATCTACACCAGCACAGATGGTATTCAGGCTACTTCAGAAATCCTCAGAGATGCCTGGAGCAACATAAAATTAGAGCTGAAAGGACCTTGGAGATGATCAATTCCAACCTCATCATTTTCCAGATGAGGAAAATAAAACTTCCCTCAGATCCCCTGCTCGCCCCCTCCCCAAAGCTTTGATCCTCCTAATAGCCCCAGATATGTATTGCAGAAGCCAGCACTGGCACCCAGGTGTCCTGGTTTCTAGCCCACAGTTCTGTCCTCACACCTTGCTTCCATCCTGACCTAATGCTGTCACTGTCAATGGCAAGGATTAAATGCATCCCATCTATACATGGAAGAGGTCACTCCTGCCTCTGAGGAAGTGATGTTTAATTTTCTAGTGATGTTCAGGCACCCAGCTTCAGTCTTATCCTGGTTAAATCTTGGCTAGGTTACTTCCAGCTAAGCCCCTGGTTCAGCCAGGCAGGAAACAACCTCATCAGGAGTGGATGAAAGGGAGCGTCACTGCTGAGCAGAGGAGTTGTTAAGTGGCTGATGAAGCAAGGAAGAGGCATCTTGACAGGACAAATTATTGGCTCTGGGAAATGAAGCCAAATTCCCAATGACTCCAAGGGGGACAGGATGTCTACATATCCATCCACAAACACTGAAAACCTTGCTTACTTTCTTCCTTCAAACTAGTTACTCACACTCCCCATTCCGCATTTTTGTGTGTGTGTGCAAGATTTAATAAAAAACAAAAATAGGAATGGTGGCTTTCAACATTTTCCAGGTTGTGAAAGGTTTGCCATGATTATCAGGGGTGTGGTTCTAAGCTGCATCAGTGGAACAAATACAAAATGCTGTCCTCCTCCCAGGCCGGAAGGCAGCGCACCTCCTCCTCTAACAGCCAGACTAGCGGTGAGGAGTCAGTGCTGTGACCCAGGCCAAGCTGGAGTGTCCGCACGGCTTTTTCTCTGACCATTCCATCTACCTTGAGGCATGCTGGCTGGGCCCTGTTTCCACACCAGCGCCTGGTGAGATAGGGTAGCTTATCAACAGGCTGCTGGGCCTTAATACTGACAGTGAGTGCAGCGGGTCACAGCCAGGAAGGGACTAACACAGATGCCCTCCCAGCCCCCAGTGCTGGCCTAATTTTACAATACCATGGAAAAAAGCTCTGATGAAAACAACAGGAAGTCAACACAGCAGAGTGGTGTGGACAACCCAGAAGCCAGCCTCACGCATTCCATGCCCACAGTTAACGATGACAACAGCAATAATAATAATAAAATAAAGGTACAGGTGAAAAGCAGCGCTCAGGGTGTCCTGCTGCAAGCTGGGGAAGGTGCGTGCTCAACTTGGACGGGACACAGCTAGCCTTTCTTCAGGTCCCTGGATTCAAAGAGCTTCAACCATTCTTGCACCGTCAGGCCTTCCTTCAGACTCTCCTGTATGGGCCGGGAAGCGGGTGCATTTCAGGTATCCCACAAGACCTGCTCAATTATGGACTTGGACCTGATGTTTCTGAGTTGCCAGGCGACACAGGATCTATCTTTCTTCAAGAAGTCAGGGTTGCTTTTGGATTTCATTATATCGTATCCCGACACCGTGGCACTGTCAGGGGACTTTTCCCCCAGTGCTTCTGTTGCAGCCTTGAGCTGCTCCTTCAACCTGCTGATGTCACAGTCAGCCTTAGCCTTCACAATGCTGAGCTCTGTGTAGATGTCTTTGTACTTGTCACTAGCGTACTTCTTGTCCCGAAGTGCCGTCTGCAGCTCGTCCTTGAGGGAGCTAATCTCGTTTCAAGTATGGTATTTCTGATTCCTTGACCCGCAATAAGACTTCCAGCTCATAGGCATCCTTGCCCTGTGCAAGGGGTGACCCAGTGGCCTCCACACCGCCGTCCCCAGTCAGTAGCATCTGTCCCCAGTTCAATTCTAATGCTTCCTTCTTGTGGTCATGGCACACTGAGGAGCATACACTATCTCCTGGCAAACAGGTTGCTAGCTTTTTCCTTTTTCTTCCTTCTTTTTCATAAGTTAAATCCAACTAACTCATTCCCTTAAGCAGAGAGAGAAACCAAGGCAGTCTTAATGAAGATAACAGGAGTTGCCCAAAGTCACATAGAAAGCAGAAAAGCCAGATTATAACTTGAGTTTCCAAAATTTTAGACCAGTGAGCTGTGATTCTGGGGGTAAAATGAATGGGTTAAAAGGATAGGGAAGCCTGGAAGCAGTCTATGTAGCTGCTTCAATTTTGGTAGCCAAAATAGAGCTGATGTGCCGGGTGGCCCCATCCCTTGCCCTGCCTTTAGGTCCTTTGTATGGGGTGTCATTTATTGAAAAAAAAGGGGGGCATTGAAAGTACTCCCATCAGAGAGGTGTTGTAAGGATGTGCAGCAGATATTAAGAAGTTAATAATTGTGAGGCTCCATTGGCCAGCTTGGGCCACACTGGCTCTGGCTTCACCTCACTCCTGATGGAGTGGCTCTCTGTTGACTATGGCAAGAAATCCAAGCTGGAATTCTCCATCTACCCAGCACCCCAGGTGTCTACAGCCATGGTCGAGCCCTATAACTCTATCCTGACCACCCACACCACCCTGGAACACTCAGACTGTGCCTTCATGGTGGACAACAAAGCTATTTATGACATCTGCTGCCGCAACCTAGATATCGAGCGCCCAACCTTCACCAAACTCAATCACCTCATCAGCCAAATTGTCTCCTCCATCACAGCTTCCGTGTGCTTTGACGGGGCCCTCAATGTGGACCTGACAGAGTTCCAGACCAACCTGGTACCCCACCCTTGCATCCACTTTCCCCTGGCCACCTATGCACCAGTCATCTCTGCAGAAAAGGCGTACCATGAGCAGCTGTTGGTGGCCGAGATCACCAATGCCTGCTTTGAGCCTGTCAACCAGATGGTCAAGTGTGATCCCCAGCATGGCAAGTACATGGCCTGCTGCCTGCTGTACCGTGGAGATGTGGTGCCCAAGGATGTCAACACTGCCATTGCCACCATCAAGACCAAGCACAGCATTCAGTTTGTGGACTGGTGCCCCACAGGCTTCAAGGTTGGTATCAACTACCAGCCTCCCACTGTGGTGCCTGGGGGTGACCTGGCCAAGGTGCAGCTTGCTGTGTGCATGCTGAGCAACACGACCGCGATCGCCGAGGCCTGGGCCCACTTGGATCACAAGTTCGACCTAATGTATGCCAGGAGGGCATTTGTGCACTGGTATGTGGGTGAGGGCATGGAGGAGGGTGTGTTCTCCGAGGCCCATGAGGATATGGCTGCCCTGGAGAAGGATTATGAGGAGGTGGGCATCAACTCCTATGAGGACGAGGATGAGGGAGAAGAATAAAGCAGCTTCCGGAGCCTATTCACTATGTTTATTGCAAAATCCTTTCGAAATAAACAGTTTCCTTGCACGGAAAAAAAAATGTAG